TGCCTATTACCAACCCCATCAATATCTGAGAATATGCTCACATTTTATTCTTCCATTAAAATGGACTCAACAAATTTTTTTCCTAATTTAAGTGATGGTGGTCACATCTCCATGTGTTAAGGAAGACAATTCAACAGTATTATGCTTTTGCCCTGTTTCATGATATATTTTTACTTTTTCACAATCAGTGTACATATTGATCTGATGAAAAAAATATCAAACACTGACTACTTACAAGGAGAAATAAGGGGCTAAAGAGATAACACAGGCATAAGGTATTTTCCTTGAATGTGGCCAATCCTGCTTCCATTCCAGGCACCCAGTGGTCCCCCAAGTCTGGAAAGTGCAGCCCTAGACTTCACCAAGCACTGCTGAGTGTAGACTTTGGAGGTTTCTGAGCATCAGGTGGCATAGTTAATATGTGACTCTGCAGAGTCTCAGCAATAACACATTCTTGGGCCCTTGCATTGAACTGATAGCCTGGTAGGCCCAGAATTGCTAATGTTCTTTAAGAGGGAAAGAGGGAGAAAGAGAGAGAGAACTAAACTGTTTCAAATGTTAAATCTGATCATGGATTACAGGCTACAAATGTAGTGGAATTTCCACTAGCAAATAGTTCTTTGATAGATTATACCTGACAAGTGATCACAGGCCTTATAGAATTTCATCTTGACAGGGTCTGAAATATATTGGGCATCATCCCAGGATACCATGTTGCTATTTGGTGGCTATTCAGGTAAGTGCTAGCAATGGACAAACTTAGAGCTCTTGGTGCTCTTGATGAGCGCCCAGTCTCTTCACCTTGACTGGATCCTGACACATCACTCTCACTGTTCTCCTGTTATTCATCGATTTGCTCGAGGGGGCCTAGTAACATCTCCATTGTGACAATTGTTGCTGTGTTTGGCATATTGAATACGTCAGGGGTAGCTTGCCAGGCTTTGCCATGTGGGTGAGATACTCTCAGTAGCTTGCTGGGCTTTCCGCCAGGAATCGAACTTGGGTCGGCCACATTGCCCACTTGCAAGGCAAACGCCCTACCCACTGTGCTATCGCTTCAGTCTCATAATCCTGACACATGAAAAACATTTATGAAATGTACTGTTATCACTTCAAGAAGCCCATCTCTTCATATCTTTCAAGGTTTCATGGCAGGAATTGGTAGAGGCTATGGTATATTAATTTCACATCAAAACAATAAAATAGAAGCTAACCTGTTGAAAACTGTGTTTTCTTACTCTCTGTTGTTCCTAACCTGGTTTCAGTGGGTTTATGTGGCCTTAACAGGAGGTGTTTGCTCCTGAGCACAAACCACTGAACCCTTCTGTTCTGTAAAAGTCAGAAAAGCTTTGTGAGACTCACCCTGCTCTCCAACTGAGAGAGTTCACCAGAAAAGTGAGTCTTTTTTTAAAAATTAGTACAACACAAATATAGTGATGATGCTCCTTTTACTGATCAAGAGATCCAACACTAGGTTGTTTATTTTTTTTTTAAAGAACAATGACACAAGCAATGGATCTCTGGAAAGTAGAAGTGACTTTGCTCTTGGCAACTCCTGAGTGCGTTTTGGGAGGCCCACCCCTGCATGTGTCAGAGCACAGACTGGACACAAGATTACATGGCCCTCGCGAGAACCCTTAAGCCCAGGATGAGCCAGCAGAGCTCATTCCCCCTCCAGCCTTGTCCCTAGTTGTTGCCTTATCAAGAGAGATTAGGATCCTAAAATCTCCAAGACGCCAGCTCCAGTCCTGGTCTCTTCATGTAGTTGCTAAAAAAAAAAAAAAAAGAAAGAAAAAGAAAAAAAAGGTGCAGCCCAACCAGTCAACCAGAGACAGTCAAATTGTGTACCTTGTCCTGCTTTGAAATTCGCTACCATCTGGTCTCCAGTTGAGTTGACATCTGACATCCATTAGGCTTTCAGCTGTAGCACAATCTTTGGAACTTCCCAGAGGAATGACCTGAAGCAGGGCTTCTTTAACGCTTTCCCATCACAATGGTTTTTCAATGAAGACATGCAACTGGGGGTAGGAGTTGCCAGGGACACTGTAGATTTATTTTGCAGTTGATTTTGAGTTAATTTTTGATCACTAGTGTTCAGAAACCTTTTACTGTTGCCAACTTTGTGTGTCCCTCCCCCACTTCAGTTATACAACCCCAGAAGAGGTCTCAGCTCAGAGTTAAGAGCCAGGGATATAGCCAGCCACTTCCAAGGAGACAAGAACTTGCGAGTTTTTTCCTAGTCGCTTAACTAATGCTGCTTATTATGAACAACCATGGTGGGATCTTCATAAAATATTATTTGAATGAATTAAACAATGAACCAATCAACTAATGAAAACATTTGATGAGCTGGTTAATTTTTTTGCAAGTTTTTATATATTGAGACTAGAATGAGTTTTCCAATGGACAACTGTAAATCCCATGAGCAGAGAGATGCAATATTATCTTTCCTTTTTTTTCAGTTGTGGAAAAAACCTCTCCACCCTCCCCAGCCCCCATAAGGCTACAGGACATTCAATAAATATTTACTAATTTAATCACATTGTATAAATTATACAAGATAAAGTTTTACAGCTTTAGTTATGCATACAATAACTATAAAAGCATCTTCCCTAGGGAGAGGGAAAGTCCTTTTGAAAGATAAAGACAACTCAAATGAAAAATGGATCTCAGAAGGGATTCATGCACATATCTCAGGGAAAATATTCAGTTTTCTCTGGATTACTAAATTTTTTTTCTAGAAATAGACACCTGTGTCCCATCCCTTATCTTTCTGCACCTCAAATTTAATGTGTCACACATTAAAGGCTTAAACTCTTATGGAGACAAATAAGCACATGCTAGGAGTTTTTTCCTGAAACTAAACAAACAAGTACTCTTGTGAATACAAAAGAACTCAAAGGGACTGTCTCAATAGCCAGGTTCAATTCTAAGGTCTTTCTGTTCATCCGAGACTCTCCCCCTGCTCTTTCTCCATGATTAGAGAGAAAGGTATTACCTTATTCCCTCTGCACTGGGCTTCACCATGGCAGCTGCTTTTAAGGGAGACAGGCAGTTTTTCCAACACCCACTTGGAGGTTCAAAGGGCTCATTTGTCCATTTAAATAGAAAATGTCTTAAAGTAATTATTGGGAGGTTGGAATGAGAATCCTCCCAGCTTCCCCCCAGGGTTCACTGCCATCAAAATCCTTCGGGGCCCAGTTTCAGGGCCTGCTTGAGTGCCCCATGCCAATTAAATGCCTTTGAGGTCTGTCTCTGGAAGAGGTTTGGGACCATCTGACCAGGTCATTCCAGGGACAAGAATTGCAATCAGGTCAGCTCCTGTAGGGAGAAGGCAAAGGGGAAAAGCCTTCCCCCTTTCCTGTGTGGGGAAATCACAGAATGGGGGGTTGGGGGGAGTGCTATGCTATTGAGAAATGGAGCCAATGGCTAAGATACTGTCTCTTGAAAAAAGTGAATATGAGAACCAAGAATATCATAAACATACATGTGAGTCCCTTCGTGTCATTTTCAAAACTTCTGACCACATGCTTCAAACTCAGTGCATGAACAAGCTTGCTCATCCAGGTAATCCATTTGCCACTTTCTTCCAGTTTGGGGTTAATATGGCTACACACTCCTTTCCACCCTTCCCTGTGTCCTGAACAGTTGCAAATGTCTCCAATTATTTGGGCAAGGACCTACACAGAAAGAATATACTGCAATCTACCAGAGGGAATACTTTCAATCAGCCACACTGCACAGACTGCTGATACTTTTTTTTTTAACAAGGAACAAGAAGTGGGAGTGGATGATAGAAACTATTTTAGGTGAGTGATTTGCAATTAACCATGTAATTAGAGTTTTCTATATTTCTCGTAAAGGTCTATAATCTTAAAAGATTGTTCTGAGAGAGAAATAAGCACACAACTGGTGTGGCCCAATTTTATTCCATCTTAAATGCAGTGTCTGGGAGCTAAGGGATGGAGAAAACAAATTAGGCGGCAAGAAAGATTTTTTGAGAATTAAACATGTGACAATATTCATGTGTACGTGCCCTGTATCCCTATCTTTCAGTAGTTAGCTTCATCCTGAGTTCTTGTTGTCAGGGATGGCTAAAAGGCATTGTTCTTCCATCTAGGAACAAAGGACCTACAGAAATCATTGCTCTTAAGTATGCGAGATATAAACGTGTAGCTATATCTATACCAGCCATCAAGGTAAGCTGTGCTGTGTCTCAGCCAAGATGTTAGAAGAGAAAATGGACCGTGGTGACAGTCACTGCCATTACTTTCCCAAATGTCCCATTGCTGACCTGCCAACCAGCTAGAGGAAGTTAAACTCATTTTCTTGGCCCTCCAAGAACTGTGTATATTATCCTTCCTCTTTTGAAGAAACAAGGTGGACATGAGATAATTATCAAGGGCCAGAGAAGATGAGTCCTAAAGATAAAATTGGCTGTTTTCCTAGACTGTTGATTCTACCCATAAATGCTCTCTGTGGCTAATCCTTTTCTGGACTATGGTTACCTTTCTCCATAGGAATTACCTCCACATCAGAAATGAATAAAGCGTCTCCCTAAGCCTCAATATATGAGGGGGAAAGATGGAAATATCCCTCGAAGAACCGTTTGGTCATGAGGGACCATGCTTTTGCTCTCATAGTCAACATATTTGCCGACACCAGAAAAATTACTTGCAGTCTAATACATTATATTGTCAGCCTCATACTGAAGAACTTTATTTTGTATTTTTTAAAGCTAAACGTTACTGAAAACAAAAATTTTCTCCACTAGCTGCTTTGGAACAATATACTGTATTATGAAGCTCCATACATTGTAAAAGGTTTCTGAAATCCTGACAGGACAAACAAAATCCCCATCCCCCTTCTTCCCTTCCTTGGATCTGGACCTTAAAACCATTTTCTTCTTCTTCTCCTCCTCTTCCTCCTTTTCTTTTCCTTTCCTCCTCCTCCTTCTTCCAGGTTCTTAAGCATCAGGTATGGGCTGCTGGGCAGAAGGAGCCTTGTGAAAAGTGTGTGAGAAGTGAGCGTGGAAACACCCAGGAGTAGAAGCCTTTGGGGCTGAGGACCAAGCTGGCCTCCAAGGCTCTCACTTCCCAGGTCCCCGTCAGGCCATCAAGTCAGGCCAAGCAGAACCATAACAGCAGGAAGCAGGGCTGTACAGTGGGGTCCCCTCGAATCATGCTACTCAAAAAAGGTGCCACGAGAAACAAGTTGCTGTGCATTCTCAGTCCCAAAGGTGGGCAGAGGAGCCCACACGATCCTCCCTTTGGTATTAAATAACAGTTGTTTTTATTTTATTTTTTTAAAAAAAGCTTTTTAGAAACAAAGCAAATGCATGGTGGCACTGGAAGTGTTAGCCATTCCAGGTTAGCTGTCCACTGAAATCAGTCTCATCCCTAGTCATAAATAAATAATCTCTTTCCTGGTCTGACTTCCACCATGGGATCAATATCTTCTAACATCTTACTTATTTTATTACTGCTTTTGGTTTTCTGGGACTGATTGAGAGTTGCTCAGAGGAAATCTTTGGTTTTGCTTAAGTGTCCGTGACATTTAATCATGACTTTTCCTTGCAGTTTAATTCCAACCAGTCAATCCGTTAATCCACTTCGATTGATTCGGGGCTCTCGGTGATTGGCTTGCACTCATTGGGCATCCGCTGGTGTCGGCTCAGCTGGGTGGCCTGCGTGAAGCTCCGCTCACACCTCTCGCACCTGGTGGAGGCAAGAGAGAAAATTGAGACCAGGGAGCGGGGTGTATCAGGGGGATGCGCTGCCTCTCATCCTGCCTAATCGGAACAGACACTCCAAAGTGGCTTCAGATTTGAGCGGCTCAAGAGGTGTAATTGGTGGCTACTTCCAAAGCCTGGGTGCTTGTGCTGGGGCCGAGGCCCCGTCTGGTGCAGAACAGAGGGATCTGTCAATAGGCAGGGGGAAGGTGATTTCTCCAGAGAGCCCTGTCCTGCTGCGGCTCTGATCACTGTCACTTCAAATAGATAAAGAACAAAAAGAGACGGGGAGGAGTGAGCCATCAAAAGCAGCAGCTTGTCTGCAGTTTTCTGCGCAGTAACCCCGAAGAGATATGGATGACAAATATAATTTCTCCTGCTGCTCCTTTAAAATCAGGAATTCAACTTCAGATGGGTGTGTGGGGGGGTGGGGTTGCAGTTAAGGAGTGGTCTCTGCCTCTAGAGAAACAGGAGGAGGATCCATCTGTTTGCAGGAATAACAGCACTGGGGTGGTGACCTGGGTGCAAAGGCTGGGACATCACAGTCCACCACACTGGGACTATGGCAGTCTGAGCTGAGATAAATAGGAATCCCACCAACATCTGTTCCCTTCAGGAAATTCATCTCTCCAGAAAGGAGAAGGAATGCAGTGGTGTGCCATCAGGAAGGGCCAGAGTGCATGAAGTTTCACAGAGCAGGAATGAATCTCCCTAACTTCAGAAACAGACTTCGATGGAGTCTGGCCTAAACCACGGTGCAGGAGAAACTCAGCATACACAGTGGAACAGTAGCCTCCGGTCTTCTAAGGGTTACTGCTCCGGGCTGGCTGAGTGTGGGTCTAGGCATATAGGCATGTCCACAAATAGTGGGGGCCCCAGATTCCCCTGCTGGTGATAACTCTTCCTGGGTACTTGTGTACATTTGTACACACACAATTGTAATGGCAGCCCCTGGTTTCCCTGTTGGTGGTTAACTGTTCCTGGGTGGTTGTATACAACTGTATGTACATACACATATACACACACACATACTCATGCAAATACTTGTAATGGTTATGTATGGCTTTATCTATACACACAAACAACTGTAATGGTTTATGGTTTTATCTACACACACAAGCAACTGCAATGCTTGTGTATGATTTTACCTACACAGATATTGTGGCTTTAAGCTCATACACCGACTTTCCTGCCACAACCCTATTAGCAGGCACAGTGGCCTTGGTAGTCTGCCCCTTACATGCCTTCCTCAATCATCTGGAGACAAGGATGAGAACTACCCACAACTGTTCCCCTTTTCACCGAGGCATCCTGAGATCACTAAGCGGGGCTAAACACTGTTGCTAAGCTATCCTGTGGAAGTCCTCACAGCCCTGTCTCTGTGTCACTTGCTGCCCCCCCTCCCCAGTTCATGGGCATTTCCCTTTCTCCTCTGAAGTCTTCTAAGTTCCTTTCCATGGGTAAAATGGGCTAGAAAATCGGACACGTGGCATGATGACTCTCATGCTGAGGGCCTGGGGCTCCAGCCTGCAGCCAGGGTAAGGAAGTTGTGTTGCTCAGATTGTCTTCCAGAGAATATTTTTAGCAGCCTGTTCCACTGTTAAAAAACTGCACTGTGATCTTGACAAATGTAGAATGTCAGCTTTAATGTATCAGACTTATCAGCTCAATGAAAATAACTCAGAAGTATTGATCAGCTAATGATTTTTAGTGTATTCATTAACGTCCCTGGGCAGCTCATCCCCTCTCCTGAGTTCTCCAAGTGCTGATGACATGTTAGTGAATTGCTGATTGTTTATTAGAAAACAGATTAGTTACTGGATTTGGTGTGTCAAAATATACTACCTTTCAGTCCATGACAAACTTTCAAATGATTATATTTCTTCTCAAAAAATAAAAAAAAGCAAAATCTTGCAGCTCTAAAACCAATTTTCAAGAGAGCAGAGTGGTCTGCTTATGAGGAATGGCAATTTACCAGGGGCACGCGTTCACCCCTCTAATGCTGTCTGTTAGAATGAAAATAATTTTACCCTTGGGGAGTTTACTGTTTCATGGAAGGTAAAAGTGTACATCCACATATAAATGCCCAGAAAGGATGGAGAGGTAAAACAGAGAATAACATTTCTTTCTTGATGGTCTGCTTTTACATGCCTCATAGCTGTTATGGAACAGTTTGTTACGTGAGTCAGGAAATTTGGGGCCGGAACAACAGTACAGCGGGTAAAGCATTGAACACAGGAGCTCCTCCATTTATTTTCAACCTTGGAAAAACTCCTTTCACAGCTTAATAAAATTCATCTGAGGGAAGGACTCATTGCAAATACCTAAGCCAAAATTGGGATTTCATTGGTCATGAACCATCACTGCAGAAGAACAATGGTGGAAACATATCTTGTGTAAGCTGGAGTTTCATCAGGTGCAACAGGAGGAAAGAAAACTATGGATAAATCAGGAGCAAAAACACCCACCAGCACTCAGGAATCCCTTCTAATGCTGAAGGGGCTGAAGTTACTGCCTAAACACTCAAGTGAAAAATTTTCTCAATATTTCAGCAAAGAAAAAGACCCCAACTTACTACCATATGGGTATTTTCATTAGATGTGACTTCATTTCTGAATCATTATTTCACATATGGCTGAGTGGACAACTGTTTTCTGATATTGACGGGAGGTGCAGAATAATGTCAAGTTCTGTTGCATGAAAACCCCATGAAAACTCTTTCTTTCAGGGCCTCTTTAACCTGTCACAAAATACTTCTTGAGTTGAACCAAACTATGTGAGACTTTTTACATAGGACAGATTTATTGTATCTTAGCTGTGTATTCCTTTAATATTGATTTTTTCTAGATGATCTTGTAGGATATTATATACTCTTTGGGGGACATACATAATGATGCTCAGGACTTACTCCTGGATCTGTGCTCAGGAGATCACTCCTGGAGGTTATTGGGGTTCATATATGGTTTTGGGTATCAAAACTGGGTCCACCATATGCAAGGCGAGTGTCAACCCTTGGACTATCTCTCCATCCCCTAATTTTTCTCATGCAGACTAACACCCAGGAATGGCTGAGATTAGTACCAGGAATTTTGCTCCATGACTTGAAGGCCAGCCACATGTGCTAGGTGAAAAGAAAGTTCAGATAGAGAAGAGAGCACCAAATAAAGGGTGTTATGAGGACCCTCCCAGGGTGGGAGAAGCATGCTAAAAGTAGTCTATAGACCAAACATGATTGCCACTCAATGCCTCTCTTGCAAAACACAGTACCCAAAAGAAGAGAGAGAGAACAAGGGGGAATACCCTGCCACAGAGGCAGGGTGGGACGGGGGGGGGGGGGGTAGAGGGGGATGAGGGGGGGATGCTGGGACGCGAGGTGGTGGAGGATGGGCACTGGTGGAGGGATGGGTACTTGATCATTGTATAACTGAAACCCAAGCACAAAAATTTATAAGTCTATAACTGTATACCTCATGGTGTTTCACTAATAAAAAAATAAAAAATAAAAATAATTTTTCTCATGCTGTGCTAGGCCATCTTCACACAAAGCTGTAGTGATGAGTCGCTTCTCCTGCTTCTAACCAGGAGGAAACGTAGAGTCTCCTCTCTGGAAAGTCTCAGTCCTCTAAGATTCCAATTCTCAAAGCAATTCCCAAGGGTGGGCCCCACAGGGCAGTATCTCTAAAATCTTGTGAGATTGTGTTTAGCAACAGAGGGGGATGAAAGGAGTCCTCATTGTAGAGTAAGTTTTATATTGCCAACCTCCTTCCTTCCACCCATCCTTGCTCCTTCTTTCTCTCCTTCCTCTTCTCATAGAGTCCTTGGCAATTGCTCTTAAATGAAATGACATCTTGATTTTTGCTCCCTGATCTCTATGACATCCTATCTCAGATGGTCAAAGTCAATAACCTTCCTGTGATCCTTTAACAGATACTTCCTGAGCCCCCCACCCCCACCCCCACCTTCATGTGTTCCTCTATCTGAGAATTTTCAAGTCCACAGTCCAGGTGAGCTGCTGATAAACAGATGAACTTCTTCGAGTAGGTGTTCTGGGGGAGGGGTTTCTTCAGAGGCATCTCAGTTTAGTGAATTCCAAGGATAAATCTGTCACATCTCCTTCAGCCTGCTGTGAATGGGAATAACCTTGATCTGCCTTTAAGACCCACTTTCCAACAAATGTACCTGAAAAACTGCAAATGGCTCTTCCCTGTCCTGGCAGGCTTTATCTCAGTTGACCCTGAGGATTCTGGGCACTTTCGGGGCCCTGGGGGTTGGAGTGGAAAAGCCAAATAGAGAGCCATTTGGGGCAAGGCTTGGAAGCTTCCCACCATGCAGTTTAGGGTTGTATCTCATTCCAAGATTCTTTCTCTTCTTTGCAACATTGTTTTAAGACAATGCCCATTAGTTGAAGCAGTAAAATTAACTGTTGTGGTGAAACCCATTTTATTGAATAATCTGCAACAATTTTTTAAAGGTTTGTTTTATAAGCCTGAAAAAGGATATCTTCATAATATTTACAAATGTCCTTGGGATGGTTAACCATGAGCTCTGACTGGAAGATACCCAAAATTCCCTCTGGAAAGTTCAATCATACAAGATTTGGTTGTATACACCAAAGGATTTTAGCTTTCTATTTCTCAGATGCTTAAGTATTAGCACTTTGAAATAAGTGATAGTTGAGTGAAATCAGTGAGAGAGAGAGAGAGAGAGAGAGAGGAACAGACTTAGAATGATCTCAGTCATATGTGGGATATGAAAAAAACTTCCTAGGGGAATACCAAATATCCAAAGGCAATAGAAACAAAGACCAGGAGAACTGGTCTTCAGTAGGAAGACTGCCACTGGGGCAGGGAGGGAGGGGGATAAGTTAAGGAAGGGAACACCAGGGTAATGGGAGCAGGGATAAGTGCCTGCCACAGAGGCAGGTGCAGATGGTGGGGTGTGGTGAGGGGGAAACTGAGGACTTTGATGCAAGGTAATGAGCACTGGTAATGGGACTGGTGTTGGAACAACTGTACACCTGAAACTCAATCACAAATATCTTTGCACTTTGTCGTTTATGGAGATTTTTAAAAAGTAAGTCAATTTTTAAAAAGAAGATACGTCTATATTCACTTCTCCCTGGGCTAAATTATATTTAATAAGTTCATTAAAAACAACACACCCAAATCCCCACAGGCTATATTTATAAGAACTGTCACAGAACTAAAACATAAACTGACTTGAACCTTCTCAATTCTGGTTGTTTCCATATGTATAATTTTTTTCCAGATGAAATTAGGTCAAGGTCATCCAAAATACTTTTTAGAAAGGAAAATGAAAGTATTGCCAAAGTCCCTCAATTATAAATTTGATGCATTAAAATTAAGTTAACATGGCAACTCTATTGGAAAGGTGACAAAAACAGGATGTTAAAGAAAAAAAATTGACTGCAGTCAACAAGGTTACACATAAGTAACACCTTAACATTAATAGAAATCTATTTCCCATTTTGACCCTGAAACCTCTTCAATTAATTACTAAAACCTATTTACACAGCAACAAGATAAAAATCAATTGGCTCCTGGGCACCATGCCGTCTGGAGGCCTTCTCTCATACACGGGGCCAGTGGGTCCTAAGTGCCCCAGCACCTCTGCCTCTGAGAAGCTCCCCTGCACGCAGGCCCTGGGGACACCTTTCTCAGCTTCCGCTTCTAAGGCTTCAAAGTCTCTGAGCCCCATATGGGTTAGTCTTCCAGGTCGAGATCAATGGCCAAGGCCTCTGCACAGGGCACTAAACCATGGGTTGGGCACCCCGAGTTATATACAGTTATGTTCCAGTCCATCTGACCTTTTGAGTGGGTTAGAAATGAATGGCCCCTGGGCTCTTTGTGTTTGTTTTTTCAAGATTTTTTTTTATTGCGTCACTGTGAGACCCTTACAAAGCTGTTTATGATTAGGTTTCAGTCATACAGTGTTCCAACACCTAACCCTCCACCAGTGTACATTTCCCACCACCAACATCCCCAATTTCCCTCCCATCACCTGGCACCCCTCCCAAACTACCTCTATGGCAGGCACTTTACTTCTCTCTCTCTCTCTCTCTCTCTCTCTCTCTCTCTCTCTCTCTCTCTCTCTCTCTCTTTCTCTCTCATTGGGCATTGTGGTTTACAATACAGATACTGAAAGGTTATCGTGTATATCCCTTTACCTATTTTCAACACTCAGTTCTTGTCCGGTGTGATCATTTCCATCTATTATTACCATACTAGTCCCTTCTCTAACTTATCTACTCTCTTCCCCACACATACTTGTGGTAGATTACAACCACTGACCAGTCTTTCTAGCACCTGTTTCCTTGTTCTTAGATATTACTCTTCTATTATATATATTTTTATAGACCATAAGCGAATCCATTCATTCTGTATCTGTATCTCTCCTGTGACCCACTTCACTCAGCATGATACTCTCCATATCCATCCATTTATAGGCAAATTTCTTGACTTCATTTTTTTTTCTAACAGCTGCATAGTATTCCATTGTGTAGGTATGCTGTTGTTTTTGTATCCATTCTTCTGTTTCAAGGAATTCAGGTTGTTTCCAGATTCTGGCTATTGTGAATAGTGCTGCAATGAACATAGGAGTGCAGATGGTGTATCTGCTGTTTGGGTTCCTAAAGCCACAGAGGGCCCAGTGTGGCTGGTGGAGAGCAGCCTTGTCCCAACACTCCACCCTGTTCTCTCAACCCAGTTGCTGTTATGCAGCAGAGAAGCTGCCCCCATGTACATACATCACTGAAATTATTTAACCACAAAGGAAAATAACAAAGAAAGATAACTTCTTTGAAGGGAGGTGAGTGAAGATGACAGCCTTTTCTGTGCCCCTTCCTTCTCTGGCAGACACTGAGATGGGCACAACCCAGACCAGCACCACCTCCATGGTGTCAGACAAAGTCACGGAGAACAAGGGCTCTGGGAAGACTTCGTCACTGTCTCTAGCAAGGCCATGGATCTCTTACTCTGAGCTCCACTGATGGCTTCCTGGACCCTGTTCTACAGAAAGGATGTCTGACTACATCACTTTCACTCTTGATCTTCCTCCAGGAATGACAGCATGACAAATGAGTAATGAGACATGTGTGAGGGTTGAAAAAAGGTTAGCACAAAGAGAAAGAACTGCTTCGAGATGACTGGAAGTACATGCTGGTGTGCACACCCAAACTTTCCATGGGCTGTCTGGCCTGCTAGAGAAGCTACTTTCCCTCCATGTCTAAAAACTCCCACTCACCCTTTAAAGCACATCTCAAATATCGCCTCTTCCAAACAGTATTGAATGGTCCACCATGAGCAACTCTGGAATGCTGCAGAGGCTTGTCTTAATTGTCTTTCACTTGTACACATTCTACCCAATCATGTTTGACTGTTAACCTGGCCTCCCCATAAACGATGATATCTTCAAAGTGGAGGGGACCCTGTCTCCTTCACTGCGGTGCTCATGTCCCTTGCAGAGAGCCTTGGATGGAAGGGGGTTCTTAAAAAAGACCTACTGGATGAACAAACACCTACCTAAAGGAATGAATGGGTGAGAGCGAGAAGAGTTTCTTTGCACCAGGCAGATGTCCTGTGCCTATGTGAGTGCACTTTACTGAGATACATACTCTTGGGCCATGGTGACCCTTTCCTACAAAACCTGTGACAGTCAAGCTGACCTCTCCCTGCAGTTCCTACATTCTCGAAAACTTAGACGGGCCCTCTCTTTGCTTTTGCTTGTCTTTTTTTCATCAACCCAATAATTTTCAGTTATAAAGGGGCACACTGAAAAGTTACCAGCTGGCTGCTTCGAACAGAATCAAACTTCATTAGCCCAGAGCAAAGAAGAGGAAACAGTTCACAGGAATCCGGTGAGAGGATTAAACAGAAGTCCAAAATTGGGTCACCTTGCCAACTGGCTAGTGGTCTATAGGCAGCACGCTGGGCAGGGGAGACAATACGAAGGGCTCAAGCACATGCTTTGCATGCAGAGCCCAGATCTGAGCACCATGTTCCCCTTAGCGGATGGCCACCTGAGCACTGTGCACAGCTCCCAGCTCAAATTCTACAAGAGAGGGTCCTCAGAAACTAGAATCTTCACATTTCTTTCTCCTAATTCCTTCTTTTAAATGATGAAACGACAGGCCCAGAAAGATGATCTGAGGTCCCAGCTGGCCCAGCTCAGGACAGGATCACCCTGTAAGATTCTGACTGACTATTCTCTGAATGCATCTGACCTACCAGATGCATTTTGCAAGTAGCCTGCAGGCAGGAGCTTGGGCCGCCTGGACACAGGCCTGCCCACAGCCTTCTTTCCTTGGGAGCTCGTGCCCCGGGGGCACCGCGCCGCCCCGACCCCCAGCTTGCAGGAGCGGCTAGGAGAAAGAGGGTCGCAAGGGCTGCCCCGACTTACTTGAAGGGCTTTTCTCCAGTGTGGGTTCGGATGTGATTGTTGAGGGTGGTGGCCCCGGCAAAGGCACGACCGCAGTAGCCGCACTTGAAAGGTCGGTCACTGGAGTGAGTGACCACGTGGTTCCTCAGCTCTGAAGGTTGGGAAAAGGACTGGGAGCAATGGCCGCACTGGTAAGGTCTGAAATAGATAGAGAGACTGCCTGGTCAGCACGGGTGCATGCTCGCGGGGCAGGGGCTGAGGGTCAGCAGCACAGGGCAAGGGCCAAAGCTCAGGGTTACCGTGTGCGCAGGTTTGGGGGGGTGCCTTATAAAGGGGTGCAGAGAGCTTAGGTTGCTGGGTTCCCATGAATGGACTTGTCACCACAGGAATGAAATTCACAGAGCTGCTGAGACACTCTCATTCCCCAGAGCTATGCTGCTCAATTTGGGGATGAACCCCTCTACTTCCAGCACTCCTATTTTCCTGTTGGTAGCCCTACACCCTGACTAAATGGGAATACAGAGTGAGTGAGTACACGGCATGGGCAGATGGGACCAAGAAGCCAAAAGGGAAACGTTCAAAGGGGACCATGGCACTTTCTACTTAGCATTGGGCTGTCCAATAGGCCAATGGCTTCTTCTGGACACTTGCTGCTAATGAACTCTATCTGGAAACCAGAAGATCAACTGTGCACCGGAAGTCAGCTCTTGATGCCTTAGAGCCCTGATCTAAGTTTCCGGGGAGCACACAGGCAGGACAGTAGGTTGCATGTGAATGTTAACAAATGCTCAATGGTTGGGTTATGGGTATTAGGGTGGACCTAGCTACTGCACAACCACTGGCAGGCATTGCTCAGCAAGTATCTGGGTCTCCAGATGTGTGTCTTTGTAAAAGAGACCATGGTTTCTACCTCCCAACACCCACTAATATTTATCTGTCGGCCACTCTTGTGTTTTGGTTTTGTTTTCCTTCCACTCCCCCATTTAATGCAGTGGCAAGCAAGCAATTTATCACAGACCAGAAATGACACTTTGTCACTGTGGTCGCAAAAGGATGATGAGAACTCAGAAGCAGAAGGGAAAAAGTTCGAGACAAATACCTAATAATTAGCAAGATTTTCAGAGCACAATCTCTCCAGCTCATGAGAAAGAAATCAATTTTTGGTTTTCAGGAAATAGATTAAAATGCTGCCTTCTCCACACAACTTCTCCTGCTTGCTTGAGCAGAATTTGGTGAGTGATATAAAACCAGGGAGTTTTTCCCCATTTGAAGCTATTTTTTATCCTTCTCTGACAGGACTCTAATTTGTTTATCAAAGTTTTGGTTAAGAAAAATTAATAATTTGTCAGGAGAGATTTTAACCAAGCTGGTTTGTGGCCCAGACAATGCTGGCTGCATTGAGAAAGCCAACGAAGAAACCAGACCTCATTGCTTCACCTCAAACAGATGCATAGGCCTCAGTGATCAGAAACCTCAATGAAGGGCCCCGAGACAATGGTGACAGCATGTGCACAACAATTCAATTAAGTGCAAAATAAAGTGTACTCTCTCATTTGTCAAGTGAAGTGCCTAATTGTGGCTACTTGCCTCACTGAACACAAATACTATTATTTACCAGGCTTCAGCATGCTGAACACTGATTGTAGAATTTTTTAGCTTGATTAATAGTCCAGGATTGGTCAATAACTCAATACTATACAATTTTAATTACTTACATTTAGAAATCTATCTAACTGCTCTCAAACAAGTTTCAAAGAAATATATAAGAGTCCTTGGTAAGGAGTTTATCAATCTTGACAAATTACACATGCATTTTATTGCAATTATAAAATAATGCTTTCCAAGCCATTAAAATTATATGCAGATAAAAAAAACCTCTAGCCAACTCTGCTCTTTGCAGTAACTATTTACCTTAAACGACTCTTCAAGAAATAATTCTCTCAGGGGTAGGGTATATTTTTTAATGTTATTGAAGAATGTAAACAAAATAATAAATTAATATATGCTCTATCCAGAGACAATTGATTTTTCTAATAGTGAAGGGGCCATTAACATTTATTAGCCTCTGGTTATCTGTTTTTAATAGCTATCACAATAAACAATAAGCCACTAAATAAAACCAATTAATCTTTTCTTTTTTTTCTAACTCTGCTGTCAAAAGTTGGGGTGATTTATTTCTTACCATGAGAAGTCAATCCTTCGTTTTAACGTTAACATTCATGGCAGTAAAGATTTACAGAGGAGAGCAAAAATGGCCACAGAGGAGCTTCTGTGGAATTCTTATATCAAGGGAACACTGATGAAAGGCAAAGAGATTGTAATACATCACCTTTGCCCTGCACTGGCCTGTGAGACATCAAGGTATCTGCATTTTTTGAGGCAGCTAGAAACCTATGGCGGGATTTAGCTTGTCTGAATAGAAGGTCCAGAGCCAGGGAGGCTGAGTGAGTCCTGCGTGAGTCTGAACCAATCAACTGCAGGGTTTGGACCAGTTCCTCAACTTCCCTGACTTTCTACTTTCTTCGGATAAGGGGAAATCTGAAATCTCTTTAAATTCTGTCGGACTCTGTCCAAGACAGCTGCAGACACTGTATCTGTCATATCAGCCTCATCTCCCACAATGCCCTGCAGGCTGAGCTGACTATGAGCTTGAGTGTGTTCATGCACTAATCTGAACAGCAATCCATTTAAGCTATTTTGATAAACATATGAAGATTCAAAGTAATAAAAAAATTATCAGTACCCAAACAGGAGACTAAGCCTTATCTTTATGGCTCTCTAGAAACCTTTGTTGAGTCAAAAGGCCCTTCATTTTTAGTTTTAAACTTCATTTTAGCTTCATTTAAACTCCGAAGACTCAGTTTAGACCAGATTCATCTCTGTAGGAGCCAATTTCATGAATTTAGATGTGAAATTCTGTGAGTCATGACAACAACAGAATGTTTCACTCAACTTCCAAACACACACTGAAGGCATCTGCAAAAGCACAGAGGTGATCTAGCAAGAAGACGAGATTCCCTTTTCACGACATCTAGTATTTACTTTAGAAAATGAATTAAAGAATCGAAGAGGAATTTCAACACCAACTTTGCTCTGGGGTTTGATTTAAGGACACAGGAATCCATTCAAAATGGAATGACACATTTACCCCAAGAGCGAGGCCTAGAAGACATCGCCACATTGTGGAACCACAGACCTCACCGTGTCCTGGAGGGCTGAGTGGCCCCAGGTGTGGACACCAGGCCCAGACTGTTTCCAGTAGCACACAACTCTTCACCTCTCAAAGGGTCTCTGTGGCCCAGAATCAGTTAACACCCATCTTTTGACTCTGGTGGGAAATAATATTTTCATGAATTTTCCTAGGTCTGGCCAAATGACCACATTTAATTTTGACTCCAAAGTTCGATCTCCTTTTCAGCAGCTGGGTGTGAGGTGGGGAGTCTGACATAGGCTGGTATCATGCTTCACAGTCTCCAGGATCTTGGGTGATCACACCCATTCATTGAGGTCTAATTCTCCTGGATCCTTCCCAGGTCATCACCTGTGCCTGGAGATTATCAGCAAGCCCAAAACAAAAGCAACAGCCTTCCTTACCCCAAAGGTCACATTTTGAATCAGAAGACATTTCTCATGACCTCCCTGGAGAAGAGTTCTTCAGCTGTATTTTCCTGTATAGGTACTGAAATAGAACCAGGAGCTCTGAACACTTGATTTTGATTCATTTAATTGTAAATGGCCTTGTGTGGCTAGTTTCAACACAGATCTATCAAGCGCAATGAACAAACCAGATGGTTACCTGCACTCAATGATGAAATAATTAATAAAAGGCCCAATAAGACAAGGCCCAGGTCATTGAAGTGTGTATATATCCACGCCAGTCATTCTTCTGGCAGAAGAGCAGTGAGACCATCCTGTCCATCCCTGAACCAGTCTCTGAAATTGCAGCTTCCCTGCCCATGATGACTCCAGAAAAATGTGCAACTCATTTACCCAGGGAAGGGGGTGGGGGTGGGGTGGTCTGCAATTGGTTTGGTGTACACACAGGAAAAAGATGAAACATATAACAAAATTAAGTGTGGGTTGTTTTAAAATATTAGTAATCCTGCTTTGAATTTTCTTTCATGGCATGAAAACCTACGGGACCAAAGCTGTTTCACGGGGGCCACATTGTTTCCCTGCTCTTCATCCTTTGGCCCACATGCCAATCTTCTGACATGTCAAAAACTGAGGAGTGGCAGAGAGGAGGGAGAAAGGAAGGCCACTTTTTGGAAGGGCTCAGAGATTTCAGAAAAAGCAGCAAAAGAGAAGAACTGGTGAACAATGGAAGCTAGAAAGATGAGAGCCTATAGCTGGGGTTGGCAGGGAATGGATGGTTGAATGCAAAGACATGTTGCAAAGAACTCGCCAGAATCCTTCTATTCAGCCTTTTCCCAGCAAACAGCACTTTCTAGATTCCCCCGGCTTCAGGCACCACCACACAGATCAAGACACAAATGTGAGCAACTGATGGTGTGTCTTGGGGCTAAAAGCACATTTCTCTCCATGGCAAAACACTCAAAAAGGACCAAAGAAAAGGAAAAGGTATGCAAAATAGAGATAAGCACTAGGTAATCACTTTCTTCAGAAAATGAAAAAGAGCAGGTCTATCAGGAAATAATTCACTGAGTAACGCTGGACTTACTCCTTTCTGGAGGTGTCCCTCATTGCCGCCACCCAATGGAAATATTGAGAGATTTTCTATAGCAGAAAAGAGCAAAGGAATTCTATAGCAAAAGCAAGGTATGCTGTCCCCATCCCAAGGTATGGAGGGAATGAGTTTAAAATCAAAGCCCCAAATTTTTGTGAAGCCCCCATACAACGTCTTGTTCATAACAGATTATAACAGCTAATCTTTTCTATGGATATGCTCAGAAAAAGAAATGCCACTTAACTTGGCAAAAGGGAAGAAGAGATTTCTGGTTTTGTTTGTTGGCCATGAACAGAACAAAAATCAAGAACTAATTTATCTGTGGCTCTTGGATCTGCTCTGGGCTCTTTCTATCTATTCTGCTAATTCTTACCTTGCCAGGTAAAATAAGTTTCTTTTCTACATTAAACGTAAGGAGTTTAGAAGTAGAAAATGGGGTAGCTGCCCCTCCCCACTGGGGTAAGTTTCTTGGGCTCTTTCTTTGACAGTAAGGTGAGGTTTCCTGGAGGGCTCTCTCATGAAAAAGCTCACCAGTACAGACGCAGTCTCTTTGAGGAACGGTCAGATGTCTTCGGTTTCCCGGCCAAACATGCAAACTGCTGAGTGAAAGATCTTTTGGATCTCAGTTCAGGGGCTGTTTCAAATTTTGGGCCTGTTTGAAACTCAAACCTGTTTACTTTCTGACTTTGTCATCTGCGTCTCCCTTTCTTGCTTCTGGTTGTAGCCAGACTGTCCTAGCAAAATCAAAGCGTGGCATTTTTTAAATGGAAGGAGATGGCTTCTCATAGAGAGGTGCTAAGCTTTTTCACTGCCTTTGGCTGGATGGGCACAAAGTGTTATAGCCTAAAAGCCAAATATGCACACTCTGCAGATTTAAGTCTCATCCCTGCAGGCCAGATAGGTGCTCCAGCCCCTGGAGCTATCTCCACGGCCTGAAGTCATAATTCATAACTCTAACTAGCTCAAAGTTGACAAAGAACACCTCTGTAGTCTTTGAATCCCACACTTTCTCTCTGAATATCAAGCACCCTTTCTTTCCATCTCCTGGGGAAGGTTGGGTCATGCCACACTTGAACATCTGAGTCAAATCAGCTGGTGAGGTCTCACCTGGGAAATAAATCTTGCACACCCTGGATTTTGCCAACCAATTGAAATCTGCTTAGAATTGATATTGTCCTAACAGTTTCTCATGAAAGCGTATTTATATGCAACGTGTAAGTTTTGATTTGTTGGTAATTTTTTTCTGACAATTTATGTACCATATTTCACCAGAAAATCACTGCCCCCACATAATCATAGCACCCAATTTTAAAATAATACTTGAAGAATTTTTTTTAAAAAAGCTTTATGTAATAGTCACATCCCAATTTTTGGCCAAAAGACCGGCAAAAAATCTGAAATTAGGCCGTGAAATGCGGTAGATGCTATAAATCATTATACTTATTACTTTATGAGAGCGATGTCACAGTCTTAAACTTAGTGTAACTAGAATCAGAAATCAGTGTTTGGGGTATCTTCTTATTTACTATGAATCTTTCCACTGCTATATGTGACATTTCACATGAAATTGTACAATAACTAGATAAATTCTGAGTGCTGTTATCCAGAATTTTCTCCCTATCACTTCATCTTGCTCACATGATCAGTTATTACGGCAATAAAACGGTCCAGAAAAGAGACACATATACCTGAACTCACTTGATTTAGGTAAGAAATTTTAAAATAACAAGTTTAGCAAATTTTCTATAATAAAAAAGCTAAATGCTTTGGAAGCTGAATATATGTACATATATGCATGTATATGCAAGTATATATGGGCATCCGTGTGTGTATATGTAAGCATGTGCCTATATCAAAATGGGTATATTTATACATGTATTTATTTTAATGTGTGTTAATTTATCTCAAGGGTTTATATCTACTTGCAAGGAAGGCAAATTCCCACCCCTCAAATCCTTTCTGAGTAAAGATTTTTAAAACTACCTACCACCTTCAAAATTAATAGGACTTAGATGGGTAAAAGTCTGTCTATATTTTCATCTGAGGGTTCTCCTATTGAAAGTAAAAGAGAGGAAAGATACCTAATAGCCCTACAGAAAAAAATAGCATTAGCTAGTTACAGCAATGTTGATGCCAAGCAGGTGGTTTCAAAATGGCACAAATTAAAACTTATGCAGTGGTAAATATCTATGTGTCCCCTAAAACAAACTACTGTTGCTATTTAGAAAAGAGTTCCCCTATTTCCATTTCTTCACTACTCTTGCATTTTCCCTGCCTGCTTGGGCTTTGAACAGAGGGTGTGGAGAGAGAGGGATGGGTAGGTGGAAATTACTGGATAGGTGGAAATTACTGTCCAGGAGAGCTGAGAGGCTTAGGGTTAATAAGAGGTCAAATTAAGAAAATAATTCGAAAATCCTGCTTCCCAATCTGCATCCTCCTCCTAAAACTTTCATCTGCTTCTAGTCACAGCACATTTTTCAATGTATTCCTTAGACGTTTGGGGTTAAATCTGATTTTCATAGGACGTGAAGGAGAGATAAAACACAAGCCTTTCTTATTGAATTAATTCGAGTTTTGTCTTCTGTGGGCCCAGCTCTCAAGACTGTCGAATAAACCAGTTTTGATTCATAAATAATAGTTCCATTCTATCTCCTATGCCACTCGTCAGAGTACCTGAAATTTTAATTCACTTGTTCAGCTAAATTTCATCCTCTCGGTTCATGGCCATAAAATTCTTTATTGACAAACTTTCAAACCAACTTTGACTCCGAGGTATCTAGTCAACATTTTTCTTCTGTGCGGATATTAGTTTATTGAATAAGCGGCATCTGTTTTCCTCCACATCACTAGCAGGCTAGGTATTTCCTTTTGACAGCTTCGCAGGATTTATGGGCTTGCATGCTCTGAAGAAAAATAGTACTAAGCAAAAAATTCCAATTCATTACCTCTGAGGACTTAATGAAGTTCCTACCCGTGGCACACTGGAGGTGAACCCTGAGACAGCGGCGGTAGAGGCAGCGTGCTGGCTCAATTCTCTTTGGAAGACAGAGTGGATTCTAATGACGCCGACCTCCTCTTCTTGGTGAGGAGATTTGGGAAGGTCCCTTGCTGGGCATCTGTCCCCCTTCAGATCTGGACAGAGTTTGTGCCTCTCACCCCTTTTGGACAGGGCAGCCCGGGAAACAGGAGCAGCAGCCTTTTTTGCAGCTATGGCCATGCAGCCCAACCCAAAGCACACAGGCCTGCGTCGCCCTCCAGAACTTTGCAGAATTTCTCCCTGGCACAGCTGGAAGCTGGCCAGTGGGCAGGGGTGGGCATGAGCTGCAGAGTGTAGCTCCCCAAAGCAAGCTCCTAGCCTGATCAGTAGTGGGGTGGGGAGTGGGAGGGTGGGGGGTTACCTGTCAGGGTTCTGTGTGCACACGTGCATCTGGAGGAGGATCCGTTGCGTGAAAGTCTTAAAGCACTGCCCGCATTTCCAGAGGTGCCAGTCACTGAACTCGGAGTGCAGCTGGCTGGTGGAGGTGGGGCTCGCCAGGACGCGCTGGTTCTTCACACTGATCTGGCTGAAGCCTGGCTCCAGGGGTCCGGACTTGTCCAAGAGCGAGAAGTTCCGGCTGCAGGGTGTCTGTGGGAACACCACCGAACGCTGCTGGGGTGCCGAGGAGAGCTTGCTGCTCTTGGCGAAAGGCTGCAGGGCATCTTGTCTGCACATGGCTTCCATCACCGTGGAAGGGACATTTACTGAGAGGAAGCAAGGGTTCAGAGGAGGAGATCAGATTACGTAGCCCTTGTATGCCAAGTCACACTTTCCAAAGTCCCATCTATACATCATCAATGTTCAATGTCTCTTTCTCCGGCTCCAAGTAACTACACCAGTCACTGAGCGGAATGAAGGGGGAAACCCCACTTGTCACAGATTATGAAGTCAGTCCACGCCTATGTACTAAGCCACTGTTGTATGCTTCAGACTCTCCTCTCACAACATCTGCCCTTGTGGAGCTCGCTAAGGACTGGAGACATCAAGACTCTAGGATGAGGTGCTGCCCTCAGGTTTGGAGGGCATGCAAAGGAAGGCACAGAGAGAGAGAAGACAGACAGACAGAGAGAGAGAGAGAGAGAGAGAGAGAGAGAGAGAGAGAGAGAGAAAGGGGAGAATTTTAGAGGGAAATCTCCCAAAGAGGGCTGGTCTTAAGCAGTGTAGAGAAGTGAGGTGCCAACTTTCTATCTAACTTGCTGGCACAGGACAGGGCATCCAGAAAAACTGGCTAGATAAAGGGATAAATAAGGAAGATCCTGCCAACAAAAGAGAGGTGGGCAGGGGTACAGGCTAACCAGGAAGCTGTTGGTCTGGTGGGAATGAAGAGGAACAGAGAACTCAAAGGGTCTTTCTAGCCCAAATCAGACAAGAAACAAAAGACTTCAAGCCTCAGAAATTGATGCAAACATTTTCTGTTCCAAGGACCAGCATGAAAAAATAAAAGACTTTGTGCTAAGAGAGGGCTCAAGCGATAGGCAAGGAGTAGTAGAAAACCAGTGAGAAGAGGATGCTGTGGAAACCTGGACTCTGGAATCAAACATCATGAGTCTGCCTTTAAAAATCTTCATTATCTTGACCAACCGGCAATCTCTCTCTCTCTCTCTCTCTCTGCCTCAGTTTCCCCCACTGTAAAATGAGAATGGTAATGCTTCTACAAGTAATAGACAGCAGCTTAGTAGTAGGAACATCCTAGACTTATACTCTGCTACATTCAATCCTGATGACTGTGAGCAAGTGCAGAACATTGAAATCCACAATTTAGTCCCAGGTAAAATGCAAAATCATCAAAGAACAGAATGAGATGATGCACAGGCAACATTCAGAAAATGCCATGGCTGCCAGTCTAGACACTCAATATGAGCTCTATGGGCTTTCTTTTCCACACATTAAAATCCCCTTTGATGAGCTCTAAATGCCATCACTGGGCCTCTGACCTGCCACAACAGCCACCATCTCTTATGAGTAGGCAGCTGAGCCTGCTGGGGTAGTAGCAGAGAGAAAGTTAGAAATCAGAAACATTTTTAAGGAATGAAATCTAATATAATTATGATGCGGCTTTTTATTTAAATTTGCTACTGTGTTCAACATCTGACAGGTATTACTCACTGATGGGTTAATCCACAGGGTCAGAGCTTACTGATTAGTGTCTGATATGCCCCAAACCTATTATAATCCTTTTATAAAAAATTAAAAAATAAGAAGTAACAACAGTGTCAATAAACGTTCTAACTTTTATTTCAGGGGTCAAAGAGGTGGCAAGTACCAGGGTGGTCAAAAGCAGGCATGTTGGGAGCTCAGATAGAGAAGGGAGCACCAAATAAAGGGTGTTGGGAGGATCCTCCCAGGATGGGAGAAGCATGCTGAAAGTAGACTATAGACCAAACATGATTGTCACCCATTGCCTCTTTTCCAAACCACAAAACCCAATAAGATAGAGAGAACAGAAGGGAATGCCCTGCCGCAGGGGCAGGGTGGGATAGGGGGGATAGGGGGTGGGAGGGATACTGGGATTCGTGATGGTGGGAAATGGGCACTGGTGGAGGGATGGGTATTTGATCATTGTATAATTGAAACCCAAGCACAAAAATCTATAAGTCTACAACTGTACCTCATGATGTCTCACTAATAAAAATTAAAAAAAAAAAGCAGGCATGTTGAGCACAAAAGTCATTTGAGATGTAGGATGGGCAAGACTGTGACAGGAGAGAAGCATGGTGGTGGGCACTGGTGGGGAGCATGTGCCTGGTCACTCTGCCTGTGCCCACAACCATGCATGACTGATTCCCACTCAGTTTGGCACCTGAGTGGTCAAAGTAGGGAGCCCCAAGCTCCGGGGCACAGGGGCACCACCTGGGAGCACCTGGCTTGGTTGGGATCTTCCCCACGAGTCCCAGGAACTCAAGAGAAGAAACTGTTTGCAGGACCCTTCACCTATGCACCTGGACCTGCAGGGAGCCTCAGGCCAGTGGCCTTTGTCCTGATTATATACAAGACTCCTAGAGGAGACTTTAAAAGTCAATCGGATTCTCTTGGTAGGACCTGGACATGGGCATCTGTAATGGCTCCCCATGTGCCTCATGTACAACTGGGGCTGAGAATCATCGGTCTGTATAGTTCATCATTTTCTGATGAGAATCTCTGTTGAGAAGTCTCTGATGAGAAATTTCAAAAGGGCTGAAGTTCAAGAAGGTCCAGTAATTTGTCCAGGGTCACATATTCAGCTAAGCTAAATGCTCAACTTGCTAAGATTTAGGGCACTGTTTCTGGATCATACTCCTCTACTGCCTGTGTCCAAGCCATATTTCAAAAAATAAAAATGTTGTTTAATAGCCAGTACAGTGTCTGATAACATGTACATTCTACACATATGCTTCTATACACACATGTTTATGCTTGTGTCTTATATAGGAATATTGGTATAAAGGGCTGGCAAGATGGCTTAAAGGGTTGTAGCACATGCTTTGCCTACAGAAGGCTCCTACTTCTCTCCCTTGGCATGGTCCCATGGTCCCACAAGCATAGAGCCAAAAGTAGCCCCTTTGGATGGTTTGGGGAAGGGGGGTCACTGCTGGCTGTGATCCCAAGATCTCTGTGTGTGTGTGTGTGTGTGTGTGTGTGTGTGTGTGTGTGTGTGTGTGTAGAATTTCAACTTCTGGGGGAAGAGTACATCATCAATATGAACTTTGTGAGCACAATTTCAATGTTCAAAAAAATTCTGTGACTGCATACAGACAGAAGGAAGTCTTTCCTTTTTGAATAGGTATCACAGATAAGGAGAGATGTTTAATGGCATTGTAGCGTTCTTTCAGATAAAAAGTGAAAATGGTATCATTGTTGGAGACCTGGGGAACCCCCATCTTGTTCATCCTGTGGATAATTAATCTGCAAGAAACAGCACAGGGAAGCACTAAAGTCTCTAAGCTGTGGAGTTTGGAAATGCCAGAGCACTGTGAGAGGGGCCACATGGAAGACAAGATGTGTCACTATTGAAATGAGGACTAGCAAACCTCTGGAAAATATACTACATAAGTCGCACTCAGTATAGAGATTATAAATCCTGACTTCCCATTGGCTCCTTGGAAGTAATCTACTACATTACTTAAAAAATTAAGATCACATAACCTTTAAATATAACAAAAAAAACCATGAGCTGATGGGCTGTTTATAAGTGTAAGGATCAGTGTCAAAGTAGTGATAAATACAAATTTGTATCAGTTTGCATGACAGTCCAGGATTTGGGGATGCCAGTTAGTGGGACAGGATAAAAGCATTTGGAGAATAAGATCTGAATAGCTGAAATGAATTTTATCTTAGCTCACTCTTCAAGCCCATGTTCTCCCTTGAACACCCATCTCACGTGTTTGTTTCACTGGTTCTTTGCCTGCCTATTTCCACTCTAGAGAAGCCTGTGTTCTCTTTCAAACATGTACTCCTCTCTTTCTCTCTTGTCATTCTTTCTAAATAAGAGTCAATAAAAACTTTCTTGTATTATACACAAGAAAAAAATCTTGGTTTTATTTATATTCTTCCTCCGGATACTCCAGAACAATATATTAAAATGTTTTCTTGATGTAGACATGACATTTGTATGCCATGTTCCACTTTAGGCATGATCTTTTATTGAGCGATAGCACAGTGGGTAGGATGCTTGCCTTGCACGGCCAACCTGAGTTTGATTCCTCCGCCTCTCTCGGAGAGCCTGGCAAGCTACCAAGAGTACCTCGCCCACTTGGCAAAGCGTGTGTGGCAAGCTACCCATGATGTATCCAATATGCCAAACACAGTAACCAGTCTCACGATGTATACGTTACTGGGCCTGCTCGAGCAAATCGATGAACAATGGGAGGAGAGTGCAGACAGTGTAGTGCAGATAATAAAGTCAATGCTGCTGAACAAAATAAACTCAAAGGCTAAAGCAAAGAAAAAGTAGAGATGAGGATAAATAGTTTGAGGTTAAAGTGAGAAAATAGTGGGTAGTATATTTACTTTGCATGTGGCCAACCTGAGTTCAGTCTCCAGCACCTCGTATGGTCCCCTGAACATTTCTAGGAGTGATCCTTGAGTGAAGAACTAGGAGTTAGTTCTGAGAACAACAGTTTTGGTCCAAAAGTAAATAATTAATTAATTTTCAAAAAGGCAACCATCCTTGGTTTCTAAACTGTCCTGCCTACCTCCATGAACCCTGGGGGCCTACCAAGTATGATTCTTTAAAGAAGAACTCACGGAACAGAAGATTCTGAGTGTCAGTCCTACTGAGTATCAGTATTCCTGACTATCAGACTTACTGCTCAGGACAATTCAAAGTGTGCACACAGAAAATCATCAGAAAGGAGGATAGGAAATGAATCAGAAGACACTCTCTTGTCCCAGCTCAAGAACAGCAGACATAAGGCCTGCATAAGGCCAAGAGATGACTGACTGAAATGACCAAAAAAGATGAAGCAGTCACTCTATGAAGACATATGGAGCTTGTAAACTCTCCTCATCCTTTAAGACAATGATCCAAGTAAAGACGGCAAACTCTGACCACCCTAAAGCAGCATTTCTCAACAGCCAGGGGCTGCGGGCCTCTGAGACATTCCAGGGAAAGGGGTGAAAGTGGAATATGAGATTAGGGACATGAGATTAGGAAGCCAACAGGTAGGACAGGGAGAGATCACAGGAAGAAAACAAGGTCAGAAGAAAGCCACAGTTAGAAAAGGGT